TCCATTAAAGCTCAGTTTTTATGCAATAAAACATCATCTTCGGAATCAGCATCGAAAACTTAGCAAAATGATATACTTCTTTTTATCGTTTCCGACCACCTTATTTTTTTTTATTTTTACGTCGAAAAATAACCGAGATTTTCAACAAAAAATTGAAAATCAACGAAAGTTTTCGAAATATATATCGTTCGACTCAGATTTCGATGCTGATTTCGAAGATGATGTTTTATTGCATAAAAACTGAGCTCTAATGGAGAAAATTGAGAAGTATGGGCAGAATTCCGACTTTTTCAGTCCCGATCTAGATAAGATGAATTTTCTCAATAACACAGCAAAATAAATAAAAAGCGATTTATACTTTTAAAGCACGTTCAAAGGCAGTTCTGATGAAGTTCAAAAATCGGTTTGAGCTCTTCACAAAAAACCTAGACAGGTTTGCAAAATTGTTTGAGAACTTTTTACACGGGAAGTCCAATACGTAAATTTTGACTTCAACCTCGATCCAGCATCATTCTCATACTCTCTTTTTAATGCTGGATCTGAAAAAATACTTTCGAAAAGTTAGAAGAACAAAAAAGAAAACAATTCGAATTTTTTCCGAATGAAGGATGTTTCGAAGTTTCTTCCTTAAAAAACGTTTTAAAAAATTAAGAATCACTTTTTCTTACTCACCTTGATGCGCTCTATCCAACGATGTATAAATAGATGGCGAAACAAAAGTCTTACTCGAACTTTGAATTTTCGACATCTTATTTTGTATGAAAATAATACAGTACTATAATACTTACACTGATTATCATCGGAAATGCCATATGTCAACAAAAGTGAATTGATATCGTTGGCTATTTGTAGATGTTGTTCGATTGAATTTAGAATTAAATGTTTGAATGGATCAAGATAATCATTCGTTTCGAGATTCTCAATTTCTGTTCGAGCAGTTGTCAATGTATTCAAATTTGAATTTTGATTTATTGAATTTGTCTAAGAAAAAAGAAAACTGATGAATTTATATTATCAATTGAAAACATATACATACAAATATTTCATTGATTTTTCTTGCATACTCGGTTAATGTTTGTTGAATATTTTGTAAATCATCATTACAATTTGTGTATTTTTGTGTTTCATTTGTTAACTGTTCTTTTATCTGTTCATAATTTTGATTTGTTTGATTTATCTGGTCTAAAATATCATCATCCGTATAATCATCATTATTTGTAGTGCTGCCATTTATCAATGTGAAACATTTCCAAGCGCTTGTACAAATTTGATTATGCTAAAATTCATTAAATATTCACATCACAGACTGTTAGAAATAAATATTTTTCATAAAAAATTGATACTTAGTTAAGTCCATGAATAGCTCAAGATATCTATCTCTACTATTTTAGCCAATATGAAAGACTTCTGATGATTTCAGAAGAATTTCTAAAAAGTCTAAAATACTAATTTTTCTGGAAATTCTAACATTTCAGTAAAATGCCGTAATGAAAAATTCTTTTAGTGATGCTAATTTGTACAGCAAACATTCCTGGTTAAAATTTGATATCTCACAACTTTGAGCGTTACTTTGATCAATATTAATGGCAGTTTTACTGGGGGCCCTCAAATATGTGCCATACACTAGTGCCGCCATATTTTGAAATCAATTTTCCTCGTCATCATTCTGAAGGTTTTCCAAAATTTTTACTGAGTCTAAATACTTGAGAGTTCGCGATGGTTTTACTTTCTAGAGAAATGTTATCATTTCTACAATACAGAGCCGGATTTTTGAGTTACATTTCTCAAGACAAGAGAAACTAAGGATCTCCGAAAAACTTGAAAGAAGTTATTAGAAGTTTTAACGAAAAATACCACACGTTAATAATTAACACAAAATTTCAAAATTCCGGCTTTATACTGAAAAAGTGAGAGAATTTTTCTACAAAAAATTTATCTTCTGGTTTTATCTAAAAGCTCTGATGGAATCAAGGGGGAGAAAACTGATTTGAATCATTCCAAATCTTTCAAATCAATCTGAATCAATTCAAATCTTCAGATCAAAGCTGATTTGAGTCTCTAAAATCGCTCCAAATCTTTTGAAATCTTCAAAATCCTCAAATCAGTTTTCTCCCCCTTGAATACAATTCATTTGTTTATCAATTAACTTAGCGGCTAAATAACAGGCATATCAAATTCTCGAGAGATCTTATACTCTTGTAATGAGGTTGGCAATACTACTATTCGTTATATGTACCCGTATTCGAGAATCTGATAGTGAAAATCATTCACGTGTACTGAGAGTGCATGTTAGGTCGTGTCTCGGTAGCTCACTTCCCTGGTGAACGTACTTGATTGAGTTAAGTACTTAGGTTAAGTAATGAGGATAGTACTTGTGGACTTTTCCAAGTAAATTTACTTATCAAGCACTTGGCTGATCCAATGCAAGTAAATTTATATGAAAAACATCAGTCAAATGTTTGTTCCATTTATTTTTATTTTTTATCTGTACAATTCAGCAGATACTAGGTGCATAGCTACCAAGTTTATTTATTTCAGCAGAAATATTTAAAAATTATTTTCTAGGTATACTGACTAATACTGTTTTTTTCCTGCTTGTATTCTAATAGAATAAAGCTTATATCAAAAACACTTGCCCAGTTCTTGTTCAGATGCTTAGCAAGTGAGGAAACTTGTCAAGTACTTCCCAAGTGCTCAGCAAGTAATCAAGTTCTTGCATCGAGTGCATTTATCAGGCTGGTTAGAGTGTCTAGAGTGTTACCAGAGATCTTGGGTTCAATTCTCGGTCGACTTATGCATTTTCCTCGCACGTGCTTGTCTATCAACCCAGGTCAAACAATTCTGCTAGGATCCTACTGATAATAGGATTTCGTAGGATTCCTATTGTAGAGTCCTATGCAATCCTATGAAATTTACGGCAGGAATTCTGTAGGATTCTTGATATAGGACGGTGACAAAAATCCTATAGGATTTCTATAATAGGATTCTTATGCATTTCTTACAAAATCCTACGGTAAGATTTTGTGTAGGATTTTGTAGGATTCCTAATTTTTCGTTCTGTATATATTTTCCTTTCTTTTTCTATACGAGAACACAATCACCGACACATTTTTCAGTAAGTCTAACATCCTAGAGATCAAATCTTATATAGGATTTCTATATGAATCTTATAGGAATCTTATGCTACAGTCGATAGAAATGCATACTGTGCTCATAAGATTCTTATGTAAGAAACTTATAAGATTCCTATAAAAATTTATACGATTCATATAGTCAAAAAAAAAAAAAAATACTTTTTTTTTGTTGCCTGAGGACG